TTTTTTGTACTACTAGAGGCCCGATGCACAAAATTCATGCAAGACCTAGGAGGGGCAGGGGGAGAGTCGTTCCTCAGCCTAGCCCACACCCTCTCCATTCTGGGACCCCTCATGGGATGTCTAGCAGTGGGACCTCTGGCTCCTAACTGCTCACCTGCCTGCCTGCCTAATCACCCCTAACCCCTGCCGGCCTGATCACCTCTAATCCCCCTGCCTGCTGTTCTGATAGCCCCTAACTACCTCTGCCTACTGGCCTGATTGACCCCAACCACCCTCCCCTGCCGGCCTGATCGCCCCTAGCTACCCTCCCATGCTGACCCGATTGCCCCAACCACCTCTGCTTCAGCCCCTGCCACCGTGGCTTTGTCCAGAAGGAGGATTGAACAACCGGAAGATTTCATGTCCACCCAGTCTAATTAGCATATTACCCTTTTATTAGTACAGATTATTAGTATAGATTACATAATACAGAAATGCTCTATAATTTTCTTCAAAGGAAAAAGTCTGGAAAGGAAGCAGACTTTTGACATACCCTATATCATTTGAGTAATTTCAAAAGTATAGTTAAGAAACAGTCATATTCCACACAAATATGAAATTCTACCTGAAATAGAAAAGGATTAAAATATTTTTATAAAAACTTCTAATTATTTAAAGTTGTTACTTTGCACAAGTACAGAATAGATGCAGAACATTTAGATCATGTTTCAATGAACTATATTCAAAGCTGCACTTGAAAGCATATCATATCATTTGATGAACTTAGAGCTACTTTTTCCTATTTACCAATTTTATGTTTTGCTGCCAATAATTTATTTTCATCTATTATAAAGTAAACATTATAATTTTGCAAAAATTAAAGTTAAAGACCTTTAGCTTCTTTTTGAAAATGTCTATATCTTCATAGCATATGCTTTCAACATCTTGATTAAATGTGCCCATCCAAAATTAACTGGTTAAAAAAACATGGACTTCTAAGTTTTAGAAACTAGTCAAAGTATTCCCTGCCTGAGTGGCTTGGATGGTTGGAGCATCATCCCATCACGAAAAGGTTGCAGGTTCCATTCCCAGTCAAGGCACTTACCTAGGCTGCAGGTACAATCCACGGTAGAGCTGTGTACAGGAGGCAACCGAACAATGTTTCTCTCTTTCTCTCAAATAAATAAACATATATTTGGGTGAGGATAATGTAAAAAACTAATCAAAGTATGTATGTGTGTGTGTATATATATGATGTATGCTTATATGTATATGTACATGCATATAGACATATTCATACACACAAATACACATACACGTTTGCAGTTTTCTTTGAAGCACCTTGAAGCAAAGATTATTTAATCAAGAAATGTTAATAGTATGTGTAAAAATAATGGCTCTGAAAATATTTATTTCTGAGAGTTAGATGTACTAAAGGTAACATTTTTGTAAAAGATAAAAAATATGACTAGAATTTGGGTAAGATATTTCCCAAATTTTAATTTCAATTTCTCAAAGTCTGTGATATTGAAGACTGTCACTTATGAGTTGCTATTAATGAAACACTATCTGCTACCTGAGGCAAATATTATTAGCTGTTAAGAAACACAAACACAATGCAAAAAAATCTAAAATGTAAAAAAAAAAAAAAAAAAAAAAAAAAAAAAAAGACCCACTTCCATTCCTTCAATCTCACACTTTGAGAAAAGTCCTGCTCAAAATCTGGTTAAGCATTTTCTCCAAGAGATCCAAAATATCCACGATAAAGTATACTAAAGAGAATGTAAGTCATCTACTTTGGGGATTTTGACTTAATTCTAAGGTGAGCCTGAAGAAAGGCCTCAAATGTTAGAGTGGCCCAAGAATAATTTCTCATCTCCAAGTTTATCTTAAAATTTCTCAAGGTCTTTTGTACCAAGTATAGATAAAATTTAGGATAACTTACACCTTACTACAAAACACACAATTGATGTTCAATTTAATTCTTATAGAGAGAAATATAAACAAAACATTATATAAATCGCAATTCCACTGTCTTAAAGATTTACAAAGTATTACGCGTATAAAGAAGATGAAAAACTGTACCCTTTCAAAAAGGAATTTTGATTGTTTTATTCCTTTTCTATTTTAAGAGAGTCACATGTATAATTTGAAGACATATCTCTGGACAAGGCAAGGCAGAGAAATGCCACAAACTGAGAAAAGACAGCAGATTCCACAGAACAAGGACAATTCAAAGGAGCTAGTTTGTCACCAGTCTTATGACAGGTAAGGATAAGCTGGTCTCTGAGAGTTAAAATTTGCTCATAGTGCCTAGAAGAGAAATTAGGGCCGAAACCGGTTTGGCTCAGTGATAGAGCGTCGGTCTGCGGACTGAAGGATCCCGGGTTCGATTTCGGTCAAGGGCATGTACACTGGTTGTGAGCACATCCCCGGTAGGGGGTGTGCAAGAGGCAGCTGGTCGATGTTTCTCTCATCGACGTTTCTAGCTCTCTAGCTCTCTCCCTTCCTCTCTGTAAAAAATCAATAAAATATATTTTTTTAAAAAGAAAAAAAAAAAAAGAGAGAGAGAGAGAGAGAGAGAGAGAGAGAGAGAAATTAGGTAGTGGGGGTTGGGGAAGAAGCTGAAGAGCACTGTGGTAGGAAGAATTCTAGTACAGCCAACCACAACCCTCTGGTGGACCCACCTTCTCCCAGTCATTCAAATACTAATCTAGGTACTACTGTGGAGAGCTTTTGCAAATATAATTAAGGTCCTAAATCAGTTGACTTGGAAGTGGAGAGATTTTCTTTTTCTTTTTTTTTTTCTTTTTTTTTGTGGGGGGGGGGGGGGGCAGGGGGGGGGCGGGGAGATGAGAGAAATGGGGACTAACCTGACCAGGTGATATTTTAAAAGAGGTGGCTTTTTCTGACAATGGAAATTTAAACCACGAGAGGGATAAGATATGAATTTTCCCCACTGCTTTCTTTGAAGATGGAAGGGAACACGTGGGGTCTCCAGGAGCTGAGAGTGACTCCCAACTGACCCAGTAAATAAATTCAGTCCTTATACCTTCAATCACACAACCATGTGTGTTTAGAAGGGTACCACCAGCTCCTGAATGTAGAATGTAGTCCAGCCAACACCTCGTTTTTGGCCTGTGATTCCCTGAGCAGACATGCCATGCCATGTCCAGATTTTTGACCTACCTACAGATACCCTAATACCGTGGTCAGCAAACTGTGCTCACGAGCCACATGCAGCTCTTTGGCCCCTTGAGTGTGGCTCTTCCACAAAACATCATGGCCTGGGAGACTCTATTTTGAAGAAATGGTGTTAGAAGAAGTTTAAGTTAAAAAAAAAAAAAAATTGGCTCTTAAAATTTCAATCGTTGCCCTGTTGATGTTTGGCTCTGTTGACTAATGGGTTTGCCGACCACTGCCCTAATACATGGATGGTGTGGGAAGCTATTCAATTTAAGGTGATCTGTTATATAGGAAGAGAACTAACACAAGCACTAACCAGGTTGAGTCATACAACTTTAGAGGAACCTAGAGAAGTTTATTTGGAACTTAACTTCCAACTTCAAGAAATGTATTTAACACTGAGGACATACAATATTAAGGAACCAAAGAAAACCACTATTAGATTAGGCATTCCAGAGAAGGAAACCCAATAAATTTTAGAACTCATCAGCCATGAAGTCATCAGGAGGCAAATATCCTAAAAATACAGTGTAGTCTAAATGGGAACACAATGATTTTTCTGGATTTAGCACTTTTAGTTGTGAAATCAAAAGGTGGGACGAGGTCATCTTTATGGGCTCTTTCAACACTTTCTATAACCCTTGGTCACATACAGTCCTACCTTTTTATAGGCATCAGAGAAGGCTGGGCCCTGACCCAGATACCACAAATGCTCAGAACTCACCTGGCTTCTTATAAAACACTGCATCAGAAAAAGAATGATTTATTCAGGTCTAAAGCTTTCTTACCTGTAACAACTAAAGGGTCTTTGTCACATAGCAAAATAACTAAGTAAACGAAAGGAAGGCTTTCTTTCCACATAAAAACTCCTTGTATATCTTCAAAAGGATCATTTTTTAAACCTCATTTTTATAACTGAAAGTCTGTGTACACGTGCACAGGATGGGAGGAGCTCATAAAATCATGTTAACAAAAAAAAGGAAAAATTGGTTCAAGCTCTAGGAGTAAATTATTACCCTCAATTTAAATCCTTATTTTAAAAATTACACATTTAGTATATGTTAAGTCACTTAAAATTTAGTTGGCTTCTACTTTAAACTATGACCTGGAGGGGAGGGATAGCAATAGCTTGAAAGGGTTAATTTTGCACCTATATAAGCTTAACACTACAGGCTAAGTAATGGATTTATTACAGAAGTAAAATCCATTGTCATTTTTATTCTAATTATTATGAAATCAGTGGTTAGGCCAGGACTTCTGGAAAGTTGTTAATAATAACTTGAGTCTAGTACAAATAGCCAGAAATTTATCTTAATATGAAGGGATACTAAAAACTTCTCAAAAACTATCAGATGAAATAAACAAGAGAATCACAGAACTTTAATTCTTGAGGGAAATATACTGAAAGTTTGCTATAACCATGGGGTAGGAGAAATTCAAGGGGTTCCATTAATATGAAAACCGTAAGCAATAATAACACAAACTTTTCTCTGTCCTCTTCATTTCCTTTAGTTTAAAAGCTTTCAGCCAGCTGGTATCGTGTTGACCTATGAACCAGGTCGAGGTTCCATTCCCAATCACGGCACATGCCCAAGTTGGGGGCTTGATCCCCAGCGGGGGACATGCAGGAGGCAGCCAATCAATGATTCTCTCTCATCATTGATGTTTTTATCTCTCTCTCCCCTCTCTTGCTCTCTGAAATCAATTTTTAAAATATTTTTTAAAAGCTTTCAGTATTCTCTAAATGATAAACTGACTAGGAAGTAATTTGACATAAAAAACAATTAAATGATCTAGTTCTTGAATTTAAAACACCATACAGCCTTCTTTCTTACCTTGTCTATCCTATCTGGGCGGTTAGTAGCTGCCAAAACGGTCACATCCTTTAACTGTTCAATGCCATCCATTTCCGTAAGGAGCTGAGCCAAAACACGGTCAGCTACATTCCCAGCACCTGAAGAACTAATATTAAAAAACAGTTTTAAAAATCTGTTTACCTATCTCCAAATACTCCATTATTTTAAACATATTGTATATTCTCTAACAAAAAAAATTGTTTCAAAATATAAAATGCATACTTCAGAATCCATTACTTATTGAATTATCATATCCCTAAACTAACTCTATTCAAATAATTTTTTTCTCTATCATCAACCATGTTCATTATCAACCATGTTCATTTCTCTCCAATAATGACATGCTACACAACTGTCAAATATTAAAAATATGGGAAGAAAAATTTGCTTATTTAAAAATAAATGGATAGGGGACATCTGTAATATTTTCAACAAAAAGATAAATTTAAAAAAAAAAGAAGTGGATATATATGAGAAATATTAAGGAGACACGATCAATAAGGCTGATAAACCAAAGTATCCATGGAGTCACTGGGGGAAAAGAACTTTAACTGTAAAGATGTTGAGTTTGAAGTGCCTGTGGGACCTCTTGAGAATTAAACATAAAAGAAAGTGTTTTGAGGTAGAAATATATCACTTGAAGTCTTGCTATAGAGATGGTACTTGGAAAAATGGAAGAAGAAAAGATCACCCAGAAAGTATATAATGATGAAAAATAAATGAATAACAAACAGAATACTAACATCAGTATTTTAGAGGGGACGTGTATTAGTTAGCTCAGACTGCCGTAACAAAATACACAGATTAGGGGCTTAAACAACAGACATTTATTTTCTCATATTTTTGGAGGCTAGAAGTCCAAAGTCAGTATGCCAGCATGGTTGAGTTTTGGTGAGAGTTCTCTTTCTGGCTTATAGATGACTGCCTTCTTGCTGTGCCCTCACATGGCAGAGAGAAATATAAAGCAAGCTCTCTGGTGTTTCTTCTTAAAGGGCACTAATCCCATCAGGAGGGCCACACCCACATGACCTCATGTAAACTTAATTATATCCCAAAGGCCTATGATCTACAATATTTTTTGGAAAAAGCATTACTTAGTACTTCATTTATTCTTTTCGGAGCTCTTTTGACAAGTAAATGTATTCCAAAGTTTACAAATGCTTTTTTATAATGAACACAATGATGCTTCTATTCACATAAATGCAGGCCACAAAATTCCCCAAGATAGTCCCAGTGTTTAACTTTTTTAAAACAACATTAAAACATGGTGAACTCAGATTCTGTGAACCCAATCTTTAGGTTCTCTGCACCATCATTGCCTTATTTAAAAAATGAATGTGTAGTGCTTCTTTGGAAGACACCATTCTAGAAAGCTGAGATAAGAGGATAAAGTTATCACTGTCTCTTAATAACTTCATAATCATTGGCACGTATAAATGAGGAAATTATATTAGGTATTATATAAATCCTTCTAGCTTCAGAATTCTATGATTCTGTGATGGTATTAGGTAGTTCCTAAGCAAAGTTATTTAATTCATTATTTTTAATAAAAATATCACTATTCAGAAACTCATTACTGATACTCCCCAATAGGACACTTCTAAACAGAAAGTGGTGAACTTATACTTGTCCAGTTTGCTATTTGCTGTAGGAGGAAACAGTGGCTGGCTGTAAATAATGTGGAAGATGAGGCGAAGGGAATTCTTTGGAATCCCATTACCCATTCTGCCTTGCCCTTTATTTCCACAGATCATTGAGAGCTAGCCAGAGAATAGCACAGTGGAAATGTTTTATGGGCTGAGAAATATTCTTGGCTGAATTTCAAAGCTGCAATAGGAAGCAAAACCCATAAAACTGACATCCTAGGAAATCAACTCACAGAAAAAGTTTTAAAACAAATGTGTAATCACTAAAATAATGAAATTATTTTTGTAAAACTTTATTATCTGCAAGAGATAGGCAACATGACAATAAGGGGGAAATGTTGAGCTATCGAAAATTGAAGATAGACTTTCCCAAAACATTAATTCTCTTTTCCCTTAAGAGGTCAAGCCATTTTTCTAAATTATTCAGATTCAAAAGTCATATGATGCCATAGACCAAAGGGACTTTATATCTTAGAACAGGCCAACAAACTATAGCCATAGACCCAATCTGGCCAGCCGACTGTTTTTCTAATTGATCACATACTTGCTAGAGCCTCTTGCACTACAGTAGCAAAGAATGAACAGTTTCAGTAGAGAATGTATGCCTCCCTCCACCAAAACCAAAAATCTGTACTAACAGAAATATCATTGCTATGTAGTAATTAGTACACTGATTTTTATTTTTCAATACTCCATACTTCACAAAAAATGATATATTCATTTCCTTTTTAACTCGTCTAATAAAATAAAATGCCCTATCATCTCTTCACATGATTTCTAAATTATACTAGTAGAGCAACATTTCAATAGTCCAATTTAAATTTTCAATGTTTATTTAGTATACATTTCAAAATGTCATCAAGAGTTCCAAATAGTGGGCATCTTAATTTGTTTCTTAAAATCTCTCTCCCATCTCTCCTGTAGTCATTATTCAGGCTTGGAAGAAACCTACAAAAAGACCTAAAGAAGGCTAGCCCAAGAAATACTACTCTGAACACAAGCATTTCCTATGATGATTCTCTTGGTGATATAAAACACAAAAAAACTTTCATTTTTAAAGTTTAGAACAAGAGAAACTACCTGTGCTATGACAACAAAAAAATAATTCCTAGTTACTAATCAATGCTGCAACAGGCCCTGCCTTGAAGAAAAGTCGGACCTTTACTCTATCTGCTACAGTACTTATTTAGCACAGACACAACACTAAATATTCATAGAACTCTGTTACAGGTCATGAAACTATTAAAATTAAAAAATGTTATACACTTTCCATCTCTTCTTTTGCTGTTTTCTTCAGCACTTCTGTTTAATATTAAAAGTTTACCAATTTGGCTGAAGCCAGTTTGGCTCAGTGTTTACAGCGTCGGTCTGTGGACTGAAAGGTCCCAGGTTCGATTCCGGTCAATGGCATGTACATTGGTTGTGGGCACATCTCTGGTAGGGGGTGTTTAAGAGGCAGCTGGTCGATGTTTCTCTCTCATCGACTTTTCTAGCTCTCTATCCCTCTCCCTTCCTCTCTGTAAAAAATCAATAAAATATATTAAAAAAAAAAAAAAGTTTACCAATTTGAAAACTACTAGTATGAATACCAAAAAACAGGCACTGAATTTAGAAACTTAAAATATACAAAATAATGGTTAGAATTTTTAATAAGTAGTTTTTGTTAGAGTTTGTTAAGCACAGCAATGTTCTTTATATAATTAGATAATTTTTATCCAGGTATAAATATACCCAAATCCTGATAGTAAGAGGATGTTCAAAGGGCACTAAATCAGAAGACACAGCTCTAGTCTTATCCAGGCCACAAAGAAGTTAAGTGCCTTTCTCTTAAATTTTAGGGGCTTCTGTTCCTTCTGAAGAATAAAAACTTGAACTAGATGACTTCTAAGAAATTTTCCAGCTATAAAATTTTATGATTTTATGAAAATTTTAAAACCACCATAAAAATCACATTAAAACAATTCAGAATCCTCCTTAAAAAGTGTCAGAGAAATAATGCCTACAAAAATTTCTTCCAAGGTGCTTAGTGTCATGCATTTACCTGAAATTTGAATATGCTGCAAAAGAGGCTACCCCATTTCCTGACCATTATTTTAAAATCCAGAGCTCTTCTCAGAATGCTGCTAAGCCCGGAATCCTCATTTACAAGGAAAGCTGGCTCAGAACTCTTACTGTTTTTCCCAACCACTCCAAGTGGAAACCCATTCTGGACTATTAAGTGCAGAAACGGCCATACAAGGCAACAGTCATTGAAATCACAGATTCTCCAATACCTTACAGAAGATAACCATTTAGTCAGTAAGTTTTTAACTGAGCATTTAATCCTTTCCATTTTTTCATATAATCTTTTTTACATTCTAGTCATAAAACAATAACCCAAAAGTTTTTTATGCAATAGTATTAGGTTTTATAAAATAGAAGAGATCATGTTCTATTTTATCTAAATAACAATACTTTCTTCTATTTCTAAAGCACAAACATTTTTCATATTTAAAATTTTTGAATCAAGATGTCACCCGGAGTTGGTATTTCTCAGCACCATGTCATAGTTTAAAGCTGCACTTTTCTTCAATAATGGTACATAAAATAATAACCTGTCTTTCAACCAATAGCATCTTAGATTAACTAAATGTCATAGTACCTGACACCTCCTGAATACTTTTTCTAATTTCCAAAACACTTCAGTTTCCTCCACTAGAATATAAACTCTGTTGGACAGGATACATTTTTTTAATCTCTTGCACTATATTTCTATCTATATGAAATTATTATTTAAAAATCTGTGCAAAAATTATAAGAAACACTAAAATTTTTAAGCAGTTACAAAATTGCAGGTACTATGGGAAACACTTTACATGTATTTTAATTCCAACAACCTAGAATTTGTTACTATTAACTCCATTTTGCAAATGAAGAAACTCTGGTTAATAAAATTGCTTTGGGTCCTGTTCATTGTTTTATCTCCAACATCAAGCTTGCTGCTAAAATAGCATTTAATAAATATTTACTGAATAGGTGAATGAATGTGTGCTTGAAAGGAGTCTAACAGCAGCCCAGTTAGATGAACAAGGTCATTACTAAAGTTAAGTCACTGAGAAAATGCACACTAAATACAAGCTTGAAAGACAAGTTAGTTAACTACTTAGACCTGAAGTATTGGAATCTGTGATGTGGTAATCAACTCAACAAGTGGCTCAGAGTATCTGCTCTGGAGTAGAAATATCTGAATTCAAATCCCAGCTCTGCTACTAATGATACATGACCCGAGTAAGGTATTTACACATCTAAATGCCTAAGTTATCTCACCTGTAAAATGGAGGAGGGACTAGGACCTACACTTCCTGGGGTTGTTATGATGATCTACAATCTACAATAATAAAAGAGTAAGGTGTAAATTGACCGTACTTTCACAATGCCCACCAGCCAATCAGGAGAGAGTATGCAAATTAACCCAACAAAGATGCAGGTTAATTTGCATGCACAGCACCAAGTGGCAGGGGTGGAATGATGAGGCTTTCTGCACTGCCCCAGTTGCTCCAGACCTCTGGGCAGTGTGGGAAGGGTGAAAGGTGGCTCAGGGCCGGAGTAAAAGCATTGCCGGATGCCAGAGAAAGGAAGGCCCATTCTTGCACACATTTTCATGCATTGGGCCTCTAGTTTGAAGATAATACAACAAAAGGCCACACAACATGTTCTGTGACAAAGGGAGTCACTCCAAACAAAGGGAGTCATGGTTATCTGGAAGTTAATTACGTAAACAAGATGGGCTTCCATGTTGTGACTCTAAGTTCCAGAGATATGTTTCCAGTTCCAAATATCTTCTAGTTCTGCTTGTAGTTGGGCACTACCAGGCAATCAGTGTCAGTTGATGAGCACGATTCAGGATCAGTGACAGAGGAGGTTGCTCTAGGAGTCTCCAGATGAGCCAATGGCCATGTCCTCAGTCACAGGAGGCCTGGCCAAGAGAATACAGTACATGGGGCTCCCCCGACACCTCTCCACTGCTGCCTAACACAAGTTTGACTAATGAATTGTTGCCCAGTTTGCTCTCTCCACTATAACCTTGAAAAATGTATAAACTTAAGCTAGCTGGAGGTGTAACAGACTACCAAAGTCAATTGTCAATTGTATAATAACTTACTTTGCATTAATTCAGGGGCATTTTTGTGATTTTTTTTTTTTTTTTTTTTTTTTTACCTAGAAAGCACTTAAAAGTCTATAGTTTCATAATAAGCACTAAATAAGTGTTAGCTAATATTATTAGCCCAGCATAATTCAAATCCCTTCCCAACCTTAGTGCCTTAATTTCTCCCTATTTTCAAAAGATCTATGCTACTTTAACATCATTTTTAATTTTCCCAAATGTTAGGGAGATCACTGAAGTCACTTTGCAAAAAGGATCTTATATTTCCTCCAACTCCCAACATGAAATAAAGACCCCCAAAATATCTTATTCAAAGTAACCATAATTTAAATGAGCATACAGATAAAGAGAAATAAATATAAGGCTTATTTATTTTTCAAGTCCCAAAGAAATTTAAATGAGGGAGAAAGGAGAAAATAGGGGTTGTAATTAGACACTTTTATAAGTACTTAAAAAATCTGTCTGAAAGCACACCTATTTTAAAGCTAAGCAAAGAGTATGTCAAATAATTGGTTTAACATGCATGGGATAGTAAGGACTAGAATGTATAAATCATAATTCTCTGCTCTATTTATAAGACATCTTAAGTTTGGAAATTAAAACCTTCATAAGAAGAAACAGCTTTTTTACATACTGCCATTTTTGGACTAGCCATATGGGTTTGATCTAAATATTATTGTTTGAACAAATGAAAGCAATGACTATTCTATAGCCCAATATTATGTAGAAATGCCTCCTAGTTTATGGAATTTTTTATTTTTCTCTTTTTTCCCATGTTTCCATTTCTTTAACAATGCATAAAATTGGTTTAATAGCTTGAAAATGTTATTTGGTTTAATAGCTTGAAACAGCTATTGATGGATACTGATATCCATCAATAACTGTTTTTTGGTTTTTTTTTTTCCAGTTTCTAGAAATTGTTTAAACAGCTGAAGTACAAAAACATACAACATACATGTGGAAATTTGATTTTTTGTTTTCAGTTAATAGCAATCAAATTAGATATAACAATGCCTTTCTAGGCAATGTGGCCCATCAATAAATTAGGAAGAAAAAAAAAAAACCAACAACCCTGAAAACAGAATATCACTCAAGATTCTCATAGCTATAAAAAAACAAAACTATATAAGACTCACTGCAACTGAAGTACAACCACAACTCTCTACCTTGGCCCATTAGCATTACATTTGCTTATCGGTCTCATCTTCGTTTTCTGAAATGTCAAATAACTTTTGATCCCAAATCAATCTATCTATCTTATCTATCTATCTATCTATATAAAATGGCTAATATGCAAAGTGACCCCTCAGGAGTTCGACCAGGAGATTGGGAGTTCGACTGCTCGCTATGAAGTGCACTGACCACAAGGGGCCAGCACAGAATGAAGGGAGGCCCCCGCCGGCATTCGGAAAGCCCCGATCAGCCCTGATCGCTGGCCAGGCCTAGGGACCCTACTCATACCCAGATGTCGTGCACTGGGCCTCTAGTTTTCTATATAAAGGAAAACTGCACAGAATTCATTTGTACTTGATTTGAAGGAGCCAGGGGAGGAGGTAAGTACACAGTATAGAATACAATGAACACTATTAAAAGGAAATGTTACCTGGAGGCTGCAAATCATTAGCATCTCTAATACCATTAGCAAAGTCCTACTGCCCAAATTACCTGCAAAAACAAGATATTTCTACCAACTGCCTAGTCTGGTTTCTCACACCATTTTATTTCAAAAGCATTTTATGAGAATCTGCTACATATTCTACCTCCCATCTGGTTCACATTTAACAATGTATCCCCATCCTGTTCCTTTTAGTCTCCAAAAACAGATGTCCCCAACATCACATGAGTGTGGCAGGTCACACTGCATCAGCTAACTTTTCTGGCTTCCTATTCTTTTCTTGCAGTTAAGGTTAACTTGAGCTATTTGCAACCTTTTGTGTCATCTCACTTCAGAAGTAATAAAAAGGGCCTAAGTACTTTAACTCATAAAATAAAAAAGACTGGTGGGTATTTGCAGTAGATCAAACAGGAGAGCAGGGCAGGCTCCCTCCTAACACGCTTCCTAATGACAGTTTACATTCTCATCCGGTGAGGCAGGGTAGACTACCCAGGAAGGAAGAGAACAGCAATGATTCTTATTGAATTTACTCCTGGGGCTTACATGGTGCCTTCTGCCATCACTATAATTACCATCAGGGAACTTTTATAATCAATATATACAACAGGAAGTTATGCACAGAGCATACAGATTAACATTCTCCAACATGAAGTATTTGCACATATTTATTAAAGGACCTCTAAACATTTGAGAGGAAAAAAAAGTCATACTTGTAAATAGTTCTGTGATATGTATACACATATGTGTGTGTGTGTGACGATATGATTATATGTTTAAAATATAAATAATTTTATTCAGTACCTAAGATTCGGGAACAAATTATTAATGCTAATTTTAATTCTATTGTACCTAATTATATTTTAAGAAACATGATTTAATCCAGAAATACTAATATCTGTGTAATAACATCTTGTATTAGAATTGAGTCCTACAGTATCATTATATTATGCTTAATTGGGCTTTTATTTATAGTTTTAATCATATATTTATAACAACTCAAATTTTGATAGTGCTAGGGATCCCTGTAGATAACAAACTATAAAAGTTAATTCAAATGTCCCAACTGGTTATCAATGTATTGTGTGTTTTTTTTCTTAATTGTATATAAAATTATACAAATGAAATAATTTAATGGGTATAAGAGAAATTATATTCATGACATAATTTAATGGGTATAAGAGAAAATAACCACATGAATTGAAAAATGTTTTCTTTATGTCAAATGTACTAGTAAGTAAAATTGGTATAAGAAATGCTATTTATTCTACACTGTAATTGCTAATGTTTAACAGTAGTCCTATGAAATACTGCCTACCTGCCCCTTTCAACTGCTAAGGCATCCAGTTCATCAAAGAAAATAATGGAAGGAGCCACCGCTCTTGCTTTGCGGAAGATCTGGTGGAAAGAAGAGTGCCACGTTAGGGAAAGATCAGTAAACTCCAAAAACCCCTGACATTGATTTTAGTATGAAATCTGCTTAGAACTGAATCTATTATGTACAAGACAATCAGCCCAATCATTTTGTCTAAAACCTATAATAGATGGATACACACTGCACAAAGATAAGGCAACAACATGTATCCAGAAGTCTGTCTGTAAGAGGCAATATGGTTAAGCAATCAATCTCAGCTGAAATTACAACTCCACCATTACAGTAGTTGTGTGATCTTCAGAATAGGTAACTTTACTTCTCTGAACTTCTATTTCTACATCTCTAAAATGCAGATAATAGTAAATGCCAGTCTCAGAAGATTCTCTTCAGAACTAAATAAAAAATAACAATCAAAGCATTTATTACTAAATAATAAACAAAGCATTTATTACTAAAACATAGTAAGAGCTCAGTAAGTGACAGGTTAACTATAATAAAAACATATTTAAAAGAAAAACTATACATGTGCAAAATCAACCATAGCTTAGCATATAAAATACCCATAAACTCAAACCAAGCACTTTGTTCATGTCACTGAAGACTTTATGGGAATAGAATAGTTGATGTAAAGCTGGGACAAGAAAACTAGCCAAAACGTGGAAGATCATTGGTTTGTTAGACCACAAGTCAAATCAAACTATTAACACCAGAGACTGGCCCGATAGTCATGACGGTGACATGTGGAAATGGGCTAGGAAAAGCCCGCACAGACAGAAAGAAATCCAAATGTGTGTTACCTGAAATCTAAGCCCCCATTTTCTTGTCATAAGAATCATGACCATAAAAATACAAAACAGTTACCAAATCATTAATATTTATAAAGATCACTTTATTTCATTTTAATCAATAATAGTGCTGTCATTATCAATTGATGTTTTATACAATTATTTACACCTACATTTTAAAAGGGAAAAAGTAACTTAAAATTGTTTCTCAGATAAAAAGAAAGTGTCCCAATCTGTAATACTCAGGTAACTTCACAAACGGAGACCACCCACTCCACAGCTATTTGTGTGTTCTTGTCCTTGCTTAGCTTCTGTGAAGATAGAGAGAGAGTACCTATGTGAGATAGGCCCACCTCCACTTGGGAAAGTCAAGACTTGTGGTCAAACTGCTGTTACCCAACTCCAGCACCTTGATTTTACATGAATTTAGTATGTGTAGCTTCTGTAATATGAAGGAGTGGCCTATCACTTAGGCACAGGCTAAACAGGAGAGTACAGTGGAGTTTTCATATACTAAGCTTACTTGATTTAAAGGACTATCTAGTTTAAAGGATTTAAGACTCATTCTGTGATCATGTGTTCTAAGTATAAACATGTCATTTCTAAAATGAAATACTAGCAGTTGTTAAAAAAAATCTTTATTTGATACTACAATAAGGCTTAAAAACAAAGTATGGTAGGTGATCAAAAATGCATTTTAAGCCAAAACCGGTTTGGCTCAGTGGATAGAGCATTGGTCTGTGGACTGAAGGGACATAGGTTTGATTCCGGTCAAGGGCATGTACATTGGTTGCAGGCACATCCCCGGTGGGGGATGTGCAGGAGGCAGCTGGTAGATGTTTCTCTCTCATCAATGTTTCTAGCTTTCTATCCCTCTCCCTTTCTCTCTGTAAAAAAAAACAATAAAATGTATTTTTTTTAAATGCATTTTAAAATAATAAAATAATATTTGCCTAAAGAAAAAATATACCACTAGAATTTAGATTTGGAAATTTGAAAATCTGCAACCCAAGCAAAATGGAAATCATACATAGGACAGAAGTATGGTTCTTCTGTGCAGAGTTATACTTTAAGGCATCATCTTACCTCTCTAACCGCTCTTTCAGATTCACCAACATATTTATTCATCAATTCAGGACCCTGCATGAGAAGAAAACATCTATTTAGTTCTTTATAAATATAACCACAAGAAGAGAAAATACATACATAAGAGAAGAAAAAAAAAAGGGGGGGGGGTAAATAAAAAATATGCTAATAATTAAATTAATTCCTTTAGCATGCTTATTTTCACTACATGTTATTTGTGCCTCAAAAAATTAAGCCATGCCCTAACTGGTTTGGCTCAGTGGTTAGAGTGTCGGCCTGTGGACTGAAGGGAGGGCAACCTTGGTTGCAGACACATCCCCAGTAGGGTTTGTGAAGGAGGCAGCTGATTGATGTTTCTCTCTCACTGATGTTTCTAACTCTCTATCCCTTTCCCTTCCTCTCTGTAAAAAATCAATAAAAAAAAAATATATATATATATATATATACTCATATATATATGTGTGTATATATATATATATATATATATATATATATATATATATATAAATTAAGCCACTCCATGTCCCAAAAACTACACATCAATACAAAAGCAAGGCTGTGATCATAAACATCTTGTTCTCTGTCTACCGGTTGCCCCCATTTTCACCCTGTATCAGGCACAGTGCTAGGATTAGCTGCTAGCATGGGTTCATATAGTATGGTCTGTGAGGCCCATATTTGCTCATGAGTTATTTAACTTTTTTAAAACATGATACATAAATCCCTAGAATAGATCAAGTCAATGAGACTGGATAAGGTTATTTCTTTTGCAATTTTATTTACCAGATAATTATGGTATGTCAGTCTTACCACATTCCACCTGCCTAAATAGCATGTGCTTCACTGATAAAGGTGATCAAGAAAACTACCAGAAGGGCCTTCAACCATGTGAGGACACGTTGAAAAGATAGTCATCTATGAACCAGGATATGGGATCTCATTAGACACAAATCTGCTGGCTCCTTAATTTTGGACTTCTAGTCTCTACACCATGAGGAATAAATACTCAAGCTATGATATATTTTTTTTATAGCAACCTAAATGGACTGAGATACCATTTAAAGGAGGAACTGGCAAATTTCTTCTGTAAAAGGCCAAGTAGTGAATATTTTAGGTTTTGGAATCCAAAACAGGAAAATAAAGAAAAAAGAAAGAAAACTACCAGAAGGAATTTAAGTATCATATACTGGCTTAGTTCGTGATAGCATTATTTTGCATGTTTTCGTGGTTGAGATCAAATATTCAAGTTTATAAAACAACAGAAATAGCATAAATGTATGTAAAATATTTGTCAAGCTGTTGAATCTAGTGTAAACTAAACCTGACTCATTTTTTACTGCTTTATTATTTTACACCATTATCAGTCACAAGTTCAAGGGCAATATTTATACCTCCTACTCTTGCAATTTTGTCCCTTTAATCTACTGGGTTTCTTCCAGTCTTCCCAAGGGCTTTTTAAATGTGTCTGACACCTGCCTGTTGCTTTTGGCTATTACAATTCAAATCAAGTTTTTATAAGTTCTGAAATGTCTAGGGAAGACAAGTTAACCTATGTGTTAACTATGGTTAAATGTTATGGAATATACTCATAAAAACTCAAACTCACATGAGATAGAATTACATATATGTAATATAAGTACAAGATCTTGAAAATTAATTTCAAAGAAACCAGCATCAGCACATATAGAAGGCCATTTTGGAAAAGAATTTCAAAGAGTTTGAAAACAGGCATTACATACCAGGCCTTGGACAAGTTTCTACTAAAAAGTGACAAAGGCTGACAGGGATCAGAAGATAATTCAAGCTGTTCCTCTCAATAAGTATAATATAAACCTTCTCCATACTTCATTCACTCAAGAAAACAAATTTTAAGAACTCATACTGAAGATATCATGCTGACTCCATTTAACCTAGCAGTAAAGTGTACATGTACACATGTCCACAAAAACTCTCAGTATGTTATTCCTGGCTCTCTTGTCTCTCAATCTTCTTTACCATCTATAATGTATAATGTTAAACACTGGGTCTCAACTTCCACACTCTTATCTCTAGAAATGACCATCCTCTTGAGCTACAAATCCATATTTACAATGGCCTTCGGGACCTATATGCCATGTAGTTTTAAAGGCAGTTCAACCCGGCCAATGTGGCACAATGGTTGAGCATCCAACCCATGAACTAAGAGGTCACTGGTTCGATTCCCAATCAGGACACATGACCAGCAGGCTCAATCCTAGATTGGGAGCGTGCAGGAGGCAGCCAATCGATGGTGTTTCTCTATCATTGATGTTTCTATCTCTTTATCCATCTCCCTTCCTTTTTCTCTAAAAATCAGTTAAAAACGTATTTTTTAGCCCTAGCTGGTTTGGCTCAGTGGATAGAATGTCAGCCTACAGAATGAGGTGTTCCAGGTTCAATTCCTATCAAGGGCACACGCCCAGGTTGCAGGCTTGATCCCCACTGTGGGTCATTCACACAGCGGCCAATCAAGGATTCTCTCTTCATGAATGTTTCTTTCTCTTTCTCTCTCTTCCCCCCACCCCCCGAAATTCATAAAAATATATTAAAAAACAAAACAAAACCTTATTTTTAAAAACAGTATAAAGGCATTTCCAAACTCCACATGCCTAAACCCCAATTTATTATTTGCTTTCCCACCTCCAACCAGCTTCTTCTCCTCACATATTAACTCTTTTCAGAGTTATTCAGAACTTCCACTTGTCAGTCATTGGAAACAAACAAACAAATTCACCTCGAGTTCTCCCTTTATTTCTCAATTTTCACATACAGTTAATCACCAAGATTCTAAATATTACCCATTTCATTATGTCTTTTGTTTAGTTAAGTGTCTCTCTCACTAAATTATGAGCTGACAGATAGCATGGAACCATCTAATGCATCTTTGCTTACCACTGACAAACAGATGCTTAATGTATAGTTTAAAATTATTGTTGCAATGTAAAACATTTATAGATATTTTTAAATTATTATAAATGTAAATCTGTAATATCTATTTCAACTCCAATTAAATTCTATTTAAAAAGATTGAAAAGAATAACTAGTCTCTCTTAGCTGGAATTTATAAATAAAAAAATTAAACCAACCCAATAATAAAGTTTTATTCTCTATTATTAAATAAACTCCTTAAGAGTTTGAAAGCATTCTTCTCTTTCTAAATTTTTCTAGGTTCTCTTAGATTCCAATAGTACTAAAAGTTTTGTTATTATAGTTCATTATTTTATTTTATTTTATTTTAATTTTTTTACCTTAGCCAAATATACCAATATTTTCATATCAAGACATATATTTCATATAGCAGTTATACCAACTAATATTAGTGTTTCAACTTTAATATGTCAGCTTAAACAGTGTACCAAAAAATGCCAAATTTAAGTAAATACAATCTAACTTCTATAGAACTTTATAATACTGGCAAAGGTATATTAACTCTTCTATTTGTCCTAAGAATAATAGGTTACTATTCCCTAACAGCCATTCAAACAATGATAAAACTAAGTATATGTCTTTTTTTAGTACCGATGTTAATAATTGCCAATTTAAGTGTATGGGACACATTAGAAAACATTATTGGGAGAAATTGAAGGGATTTTAAAGTTAAAACATAAAAACTCTAAAGGTAAATATAAACTCAAAAGGTCTCAGACTCTAGACAAGATCACAAGACAACAAACCTATAGAAGGAGAAGAAAGAGTTAAGATCCACAAAAGGCACACAACTGAACATAGTTCCTGGTGAGACTCTAAATTAGAAACTGTACCCAAGGTGAAAGAAAAAATAACCAAAACTCTAAAAGAAAGTATTCTTTAGAATATGGGGTCTGGGTCTGGGGCCAGAACCAACACACATCTTTATAGGCTTCAACAGAGAACAGCAGTGAAACAGGCAAGCTCAGGGCAGCCCAAACCCAGGTTCCCCAGCCAACTTCCTCACAGGGCTTTTCTTAGTAACTTTCCACTACCACCAGGAACAGAGGGATAAAGAACTGGAAGGTCTCCTCCATTGTCCTCACCCAAGGAATCAACAATCTTCCCCATACTTTTCTGAGGGGTGCAGGACACCACTCTGAGCTGGCCTTTAATTTCAATTACATTCACTGAATGTCTATAATATGCCCAGATCTGTGATAGTGACTTTAAAACTTTTATTTAATTAATAGATTTTTCTGGGGAAGGGGGAGTTTAAGACTTACAGAAGAATAGAGCAGACAGTATAAAAAATTCCCATATGCCCAACCCTACCTCCCATTGCATACTAAGTTTTCCCATGATTAATATCACATATTAGTATGGAACATCTTTTATAATTAATAAACCAATATTGCCCTAGGCAATTTGGCACAGCCTGTAGAATGAAGAATCCTGAGTTCCATTTTGGTCAAGGGCACATGCCCTGGTTGCGGGTTTGATCCCCGGTAGGAGGCATGCAGGAGACAGCTGATCAATGATTCTCTCTCTTTACTGTTATTTCTCTCTTTCTCTCCCTCTCCCTTCCTCTCTGAAATCAATAAAAATATATATTTTAAAAAAACCACAATACTAATGCATTATTTTAACTAAAATCCACTCTTATTCAGATTTCCTTAGTGTTTATCTAATGTCCTTTTTCTGTTCTAGGATCTCATCCAGAAAATCCTAACATTATATTTAGCTGTCATGTTTCCTCGAGATCCTCTTGTCTATGAGTTTCTCAGACTCACCTTTTTTTTTTTTTTTTTTTTTTTAATGACCTGGACAGTTGAAGGAGTACTGGTCAGGTATTTTACAGACTGTCCTTCAATTTGGGTTTGCCTAATTTTTTCTCATACCTAGACACAAATTATGAGTGCTTGGGAAGAAGATCAAAGAAGTGAAGTTCTATTATCCTCACAATACATCAAGCACATGATTAATCACTGAAGATGTGGACCTTGATCACCTGGTTGAGGTAGTTTTTGCCAGACTTTTCCACCGGAAAGCAGCAATTCCTCACCCCAGCTTCCATACTGAACTCTTTGGTGGGAAGGAAGTCATAACCATATGTAGCCTATATTTAA